AGTACTGTAGCAGTCGTCAGCACAACGAAGGTGAAGTTGTCTGGAGCATTCGGGCGTTCAAACGTTTTTCTGAACACTGCTGATGTGATTTGTACTCGACCAACTGAGCAGAACACATTCTTACGCTACAAGCGCTGTGATGATATCAAACTGGCATGTGAATATCTTCATTCACATCTCGTGGGGAGCAGAAAAGGAGCTGCACTCCTGACTTTCTCTGCGGTAGGTTGACATTTTTGAGTGTGGTTTTGTCTGGCCATATTTCATTTTCTTTTTTTATCACTAACAAATCCAATTTGTATCCAAATACAGCATATTCCCCTGTAGCATAGAGGTTGTCCAAAAAAAAAAGCTTACAAGACAAAGATTACAGCCATACTAACTGCGGGGCTGTACTTTGAAACAGTAGCACTAAATGAATGTTAACACTAGCATAACGACACAATAACAAAGACAATGTTAAAATGCTGTAGGTTACAGGAAGGTAGGAAGTTTACAATGGTTACCATCTTAGTTAATCATGATAGCGGTCTTATTACTTGTTGAGACATCTTACTAATGTAGCCTGGTCATAAAGGATAGAGCAAGTTTTTTACATTTCGTATCATCACCGTGTGCCTCTCTTTGCGGATCTCTAAATGTCAACACGTCTCCTAAAGTGACAGCTTTTCATTTACAACAGTTTGTCAGTAACCATCTCTATTAATAGTTGTTCACCTGGTTACACTTATAACCACATTTAAAATTCACTAAAATGAATCCTCTTGGAACCATGAATGTCTGTACAAAAAGCTTTGCTGTCTACATAGAGTGTATACCCATCAAAGAGCCACTGTTGCACTGACTGACACAATTCCTCTTTACCATGAACACACACATTGTAATATTCTCTAAAGAACCACATGTTTATCAAGAGAGAGACAGAGACAGAGAGTTATTGCCATTCTTAGGCATTAGTTGAAATAAGATTAAATGTTTAGATTGAATTGTTTTTCAAAATGTATTGTTGCTATTTTCAGATAAACCAGAGACTGTAAAAAAACAAAGGTTTGTTTTTTTGCCCTCTTTTACATTACAGCCAGATCTAATTCTCATTGGCTCACTCACTGATCTTTCTCTAGCAACATTTCCTCGTTCCATTAAGCGAGACCCCCGGCAGAATTCCCTCACCGCCCATTAGGAGGATTTCATGTAAAGGTGAAGGCCATATCCTTCCACACCGAGATCAATATGTCAGCTTCTCCACTGGTCGGATGATCGCTTCAATAACCCAGCGGATCATTAAAGAGCAGAGAATAAGAGCAGAGCAGCACAGAGAAGGGCTCTGCATATTTGCCTGTAAAATAGTATTCAGTAACTATAAGGTCACCTTTCATATCATACTAAATGGACTAGATAATGAAAAGAAAAATATCAGTCAATCAACATCTAGTGGGAGGAATGGGTTTCTTTTTCTCTTTTATACCTAAAGGGTAAACCCACTCTGAATCTCACAGAGTAGATTACTGCTTCTGTATTTGTCTTTATGATCCTGATACTTGAAGTGTTTGAATTCTACTCCACAAATACTACACTTTAACTCCATTACATTTGTCTCAAATCTTTAGGTAAGTACTGTATCTCCATATTTTGAATGGACTGAAGTATTAAAGGTGGGGTAGGTAATTTTGGAAAAACCAGCTCGAGTGCGCTAGAATTTGAAAATACACAGCCGGAACAAATCTGCCACTTCCTTACAGAGCCCCTCCTCCAACACACACGTACATGACCAATGAGGGCACGAGATAAGTTTGTGCACAGATGGAAGGCTGACAGGCAGGTAGGCCATCCAGTCATTTTAGCCGGGCCGGCTAAAATGATTGGTCGTGCTTTTTACAGTACTACGGCTTCCACAGATGAAATTTCTTTATGGATTTTTTTGTCAAAGCACTTAAGATATTCATTGCTATCGGGATGTTAAGAGCATTCCATGGAATATAACAAAAAGTGTATCTCGAGCCGGTTTCTCAAACTTACCTTCCCTACTGTACCTTTAAGTGTTATTTTATGTGCTAAGAAATTATTGTACTTCTTAGGCTGAATAAGCTAGACTTACATTCATGTAGAAATATATTTTGTGGAGATATGTGGTTCCGTACAGCCATTAAACAGTCCAAGAGCAGTCTATATAAAAAGAGCTAAAATTAGCACAACATTAAACATTTAGACCAGAAAAATGCAATACATGCATTTATGCAGCAGTGGCATTATAACTAAAACATCTTGTAAATGTATACTTGTGAAATACTGACAGGGATGATTTTACTGCTCTATCAATACGTTTCATAGTTTAAGTGTGTTATGTTGTAATATGTACATACTGTTACTCAAGAAGAGATTTGAATGCAGGACTTTAAACTTTGTTTTTGGAGTATACTTTAACCTAGGTAAACATCTGAATACATCTTTCTCCACTGGATAAAAGTAACCTGCAAATTAATGTACATTGTTTCAGTTCAAAGTTGAAGTGTAATCCTGTTCAGACAAGCTTCCTCTAACACTCAAACCCAGCTTCTTGTTCCTTAGCATAGGCTATAGCTAAAGACATTAGCAAGTCTTGCTAGCTAAATGCAAAAGAACAAACTTACCTGAAACGTTATTGCAGTCATGATACTCACGTCTGTTTGTTGATATTTTCTGTTGTTGAAAAAGGCTGGGAAGAAAACTTCCAACTTGTAGGCTACTAACTCCATTTACTTTGCATGTAGTGGAGGAATGAAGACATGCTAATTGCTGATACCATTAGCTTAGAGAACAGAGGGTCTAACCTCGGCTTTTTTCTGTGGTGAACATTGTGGGTTTCTTTACAAAACACAAAATGGATAACTCAAAATAATCTCAAATAAAATCCAGCATATCGTAATTATATACTATATATAAAATCCATCCTATGTGACCCCCTCATGGGTTCAAACCTGTAACCATGAGTTGGCCACACCCTAATTAGTGATGTCACAGCAGGTGCTTGGTTTTCACACCTGCTGGAAATTAGTGGCAGTGACATCACTGACCAAGACATGAACAGTTTCAAGATTTAAACTCGAAATAAACTATTGCTCAATAATAAAGTTGAGGAGGTTTCTTTTAAAATTGTACACACAATATATCCACCAAAAAAGACACTGCAACGATTTGGACTTGATATTGAATACTCCTGTCCTGTACATTTGGTAATCTACAAGAAGAGACTATTGGCCATTTTTTTTATGAATGCTTATTGTAGAATATTGTGGTATGATGTAGAATGTTTTATTAGGAAAAAGACGGGACAAAAGGTTAAACTCCAAAATATTTAATCTGAAGTATCAAAATGTATTTTTCTTTCCTTTTTTTCTTTATTTACTGTATGTAATGTCTTGTTGCTTTGTATGTCTGCCCCTGGACTTTGTTGTATGTAGAATGTATGATGTTCATGTATGATGTTGAATAGATTAATCAATTAAAATTAATTAATAAATAAATTAAAAAGATTCAATTTTTAATTTATATGCACAACAGTAACAGTGAAGCATTTGCAGTGAAAACCCTTTTTAAATATGTTTATTTAATTGAAAGTTACGCAAGTAGAACATTTCATGAGAATTTAAACCAAAAATAAAGCAAGTATAGGGCTCAAATATGAAAACGACAATCAATTAAAGTAAAGTATAAAGCATTCATATTTGACAGTATTTCAAATAAATGAACTGAACTAATAAAGAGAGGTAGTATATGCACAATGAGAAGTTATAAATACATATACAAAGATGTAAACAGGAATGTAGTAAATGTAAAACTATTACTGCTTTTATTAATTTGCTTTTTTTACCTACACCATAAAAAGTTTTGCAAAATGTCATTGTACCTGAATATAAAAATAAAAAGATGTATCTTCTTGTAGTTATAAAACACAGAGGTGATTAGTGTTCTAGGTATTCCCAGAGTCATTTTAATAGTGCACATGTACATCCAAATGAGGTCATTATGTACCAACAGATGTGATGTGCACCTGTGGTGTGAACACATTTATTAAGATTTCTGATATCTCAGTGAAGCCCATGGGTGTGCTGCACATATGTACAGCAGTGATGCCATCTGTAGACCTGTTAATATGACACACCATGAATATTCATACCGTTTTCACAAAATCCAGTCATTTACATAAACCGCATACTGTGGTGTTCTTTCATACTGTAGTTTCACACTGAAATTATAATGTTTACCTTAGTATGTAAACAGTACTGCTTTTATGAAATAATGTTTTGTGGGAATGAGATCAAACATGTACATACAATAAGATATCTTTCTCATAATTTCCACAAACTCATATTTTGCATTGTTTATCACCAAACAGTTGTTAATTATTTATCTACTGTAGGTATGATTTTGTGAGAGGAGGATTTTCCTATTATTTATAAATATTACTTTGATATATCAGGGGTTCATATTAAAGTTATGTTTAAGTAGTATCATATAAAAGTGCAGATTTTACACACTCTTAAGGGCGCAGGCATAGGATATTTTGCATTGGGTTGCTTTGTGATGAGACTGATTTCACACCCAATAATTTATTTAATATCAACATATTTAAATGACATGGAATATTCATCTTTATGCATAACACCCGAATGAAATGAAATTATAATCTATCATAACAATATATTTTTAACATCTAACATCAAAGTATTTTTCCTGTTTTTTTTACTTGACCTTAATACTTGAGTGTATGACTTAATGCCTCTCAAAACCATGGATGTAGGAGTGTTGTTGAACACAGCTGCCACTTGTAAACAGTTTGTGGATTTACAAGACTTTTGGCGGTTGATAACAGCACCATCTGCTGAGGACTGTGTGTCACTCCCACACAAGATCTGGAGGCTGGGAGGAGGAATTAATGCGGACAATCTGCTCTTCACACACACACACACACACACACGCGCGCACACGCACACGCACACGCACACGCACACGCACACGCACAGTGGAGATTACAAATCTTTTATTGCAATAAGAAATTGAAAGACAATGTATCGTACAGTGTTGTGCAAATCAAAATTAAAAGGCAAAAGTATAAGAAACATTTTCTTATATAGGAGATATATGTTGCATAAAGGTAATATATAAAATGTTAATTTATTAGTACTTTAATTAGCACCGCAGCACCTCTGTTATTACAGTGTAGAGACAAAATCACAGAAGACATTTATAAGGAGAGAGAAATGTGTCATGTGAGAGTCTTGTTTTATGGCTGCTTTACATGGTAAAGCTTAAACAGACCTTAAACAGTTATACATAAAACGTTTAAAGTGAATCAAGCAAAAGCTGAGATAACTGCGTCTCGTACTCTACATGCAGATATGTTATTAAACAAATATTTAAGGTGATTAAAACATGTATAAATATGGATTTATGTCAATGTCAATTTTGACTTAAAAAGGTAAAATGTGGTCTGAGTCTTCTTATGTTGACTCAGTCGGTCTTCTTCCTGATGCTGAACATCTGGGAGAAACTCTGCAGAGCCCAGTACAGCAGAGAGAGGGAGACAAAGGCCTGGACAACACACAGAGAGAAGGATTAGCAGCAGATAACTCATTATACTTTCTTCAAAATAACGAATGTGGCACCATGTAGAAAATCAGATTGTGAAGCTACACTGATTTAGCCAAGATGACAGTGTAGGTGACTGTCATCGAATCATTAAGAACAGACACCAGCAGTCTGTTCTCTAAACGGGTTTGAAAACCGGCTAAGATGTTTGACTGTAAAAGTGTTAATGAGCCGACAGTTTGTACGGCATATAATAAAATGCTGTGTTGATATATTGAATAACCAGTGTTGGATGTTATTTTCATCCAAATGGATCGCCAATTAAACTGCCATTTAAGTGATTCATTGTTTGTTCTATTGAATATCAGAAAATAGACAAAAAAAGACCATTACAATTTCAGAGAATAGTTTTTTTTTTATATATATATATATGCATTGCTTGTTTAATGTGTATCCCAGTTAAATAAAAAATGCTGTTGCTTTGTGAAATAGACGTTAAATGTTCTCGAAGTTTACTTACATTTAAGTATAATACCGCCAGGGAATGTATTTATCTGGTTAGTTTATTTAGCTAAGTTTTAATTATGTGGGCCTTTACCTCTCCTCTGACTCCTTTCTTTCCCAAGCACAGGCACATTGCCTTCTCCTGGTATGATAAGGCAGAGTCATTAACGATCTCTGATTCAGATAATCACAGGGCAGCGTTGATGGAGAGGGTCAGAGAGCAGGAAGGACATCTGGGTCCATCTTATCAGGGGATACGTCCCTGGGGACAGTTTAACCTGCCAGGGACAGGATTTACAGCGTCTTGTAGAATAATGTTGATTATGGATTAGGAGTGGTTAAGTATCAGTGACAGGGGAAGATAACTTTTGCGCGAAGCTGTGTCACATCGGTGTCTCAGAATATGTCTATGTCAATTCTCCGGCTGTAAATTCCAATAAATCTAAAGTATCTGACATCAATTCAAAGCTCTCCTGTGGACCTTGTGTTCTTGTTCTTTGCTCCAAAAATGTCATCACATATTGAGAAACTGGAACCAGCAAAACTGTTGATTCATTCTCTGAATAATCAACTAATTGATATCTGTAAACGTGCCCCACTCTCGACAGAGAATAATCCCTTATTTGTAACAGAACAGTACGTTTTGAAACATTAACATGACCTTTTTCCCCTTGCATGATTTGAAGTGATTTATTTATATACATTTTCATGTGGATATTAACTGACAAACATTTTTGTACCTCGACAGGACACTGAAAGCACTATGTTGGTTGACTGGAGAAAAATTATTTTGATTCTGATTTGCATGCTGCAAAATGTTACACTGAGTAAAAACAAGATGGTTTTCATATAATAATAAGAAAGTGTGAAAGGTATCATTTACGACCAGTCAACACAAACACTGAAAGTGAATCCCTAATTGAAAGATAACAGTGAGAGGCTGCGGTCTCAGGATTATGTAGAAAGTGGGCTCAGAGGTTAAGGAGCAGGTCTTCTCCCCTGATGCTCTCACGATGAGGTCGAAAAGGTCTCCGTCATGGGGGACTTTGTTTTCCGAGCGGGGGGGGGGGGGGGGGGGGGGTTGTATATGCAGAATACACCCTCGCCTCCACCCCTCGCTGTGCTCTGGCTCATAAACTGCATCCTACATCGCAGGCCGAGCCAAAACCAGACCGCTGTCCATCACAGGCAAAAAGGCCTGATGGGAAAAAGCAACGTTTCCTCCTGGAAACCGCAGCTGTTTTCCTCTGAGAAAGTATCGGAGAGAGAGAATATAACACAGACCCCTCTCTTCTGTTCAACCTCGCACTACCTGCCTCCACTGAGGGACAATAAAAGATTAACGATAGACAAAAAGGAAATAAAACAACTTTTTAAAGGTGTTTTTTTAATCCACTTACACCTACCTGTCAAATGTGTGCGTTCCCACATCATTCATATACCTGTACTGTTAAACTTGGAGATATGAGATCAATCCCAAGATTATAAAACTATAGTCTGATCTTTGGTGGAATGTATATATTTATACAGAGTATTTTCGATTATTTATTGAAAGTATTTGACTTTTTACTAGTTTATTTTTCAAATAGAAGACAATATGATGAGCTCATAAAATATGTTGAAATGTTATAGAATAAGCAACATATACGTAGCTATATATTAAGTTAATACCTTAACTTTAAAACTTTAAGAACATTTTGCAATTAATATGTACTTTTAAATAATCATAACGGAATACTTTTGCAGTCTGGCATTTACCCAAAGTAAAAGTAATGGAACTGAATACTGGATTACCCACAGGCTTACCGGGAGTTGTGGATAAAAGTAGTTTCCAACAAGGGAATCAGGACTCATGTCAAAAGTAAACATTATACAAAAATGTGGCTTCTACTCAATAAAGTTGTAACCCACACCCTGCTGCTCCTGTTAAATCCACTTAACAATAATTTAAATATGACAATTAAAAGTCTAAGTTCATTAAAGGAAAAACAGATGCAACAATACAATTACATGGGGCTGATTTGCATCCATCTTGGAGATGGATTGGGATCGAGAGGTTTTCCTGAACCTTGCAAATCACATTTCAGTCTGATTGAAACATGACAGAAGTTTTCATCAAAGCCGCATGTTGAGGCAAAGGAAGGGCACCTATTTTTCTCTGTTCCCATCTCTCCTCTAGCCCCTCTACGCTACATTTTAATGGACTATGGAGGAAATCCATGTGGGACAGATTACATAGTGGAAGGAAGCGGGTTTGATCGTCTACAAATAAGCACTACAGCCAGACAGCAGCGGCTCCCAAAGTAGAGATCTCAGCAAATCGTCTCACACTCACTTTGTTTTGGGCAGAAGGTACTTTGTTAAGGGAAGTAATACAATAAAGGCACGGACATGTGGCTTTTGTAGGTTTTTTTTTCCTGCCTCATTGTTGAAGTTTATTTACTTAGGGGCATACAGCTCTTAGTCTTTTACTAGCCAAACGTTCTTCAAAATAACTTTGACATGGCAGCATGTTAGATTAATATTAAGCTAAAAGTTCACTTAGATTTTAGGTAGCACTTATAGTCTGACAAGTACATAAATATTGGAGTGTTCTAGAGGGATAACATCCTCTACCAACGTTTTTAATATTTCTACTTTAACATTATATGCACTTTGGTATCATTAATGAAAGTACTAACACATAGACCACGTTCTGCCACGCTCCATGAACAGCACACTTGCATTCATCTACAAGAGTCATAGACCTTTTGCTTTGGATTTGATGTGGTAGCCTGTATCAGTGTCTGCGATGTATTCAGGCAGCTAATGTTAGCTTGCTAGCTATCTGAAGATTTCCAAAATCACAGCCAGACAGCAGCGGCTCCCAAAGTAGAGATCTCAGCAAATCGTCTCACACTCACTTTGTTTTGGGCAGAAGGTACTTTGTTAAGGGAAGTAATACAATAAAGGCACGGACATGTGGCTTTTGTAGGTTTTTTTTTCCTACCTCATTGTTGAAGTTTATTTACTTAGGGGGATACAGCTCTTAGTCTTTTACTGGCCAAACGTTCTTCAAAATAACTTTGACATGGCAGATTTTAGGTAGCACTTATAGTCTGACAAGTACATAAATATTGGAGTGTTCTAGAGGGGATAACATCCACTACCAACGTTTTTAATATTTCTACTTTAACATTATATGCACTTTGGTATCATTAATGAAAGTACTAACACATAGACCACTTTCTGCCACGCTCCATGAACAGCACACTTTCTGAATGTTGGTATTGGATGCAAAAAAGTCAGAAATGGACGTCATTCTGACTTTTATGTATTCTTATGCCACACTAGGAACAAACGTTATTTATTTTTTATCCCAGTAATGGTAAGTATCCATGAAGGGATACCTGAAATAAAACTGATAAAACAAGCTATCCTACCTGAGAGTACTCACAACAGTCCCGTAAAATGTGATGTAAAAAGCTGCACTAATAAAAATAGAAAGACAGTAAAAAGGGATATTCCTATTTATCAACAGAATCAACGTAGCAGGATGGTCAGACTGGCAGCTACTTTTATGTGTTCTTTTGCTATTGAAAATACTGTGAAAGTTGTAGTAGACTAACCCATTGTATTTCTATTATCTATGAACATTACAAGCGCTATGTCATTTTGAAATAGTCAAATTATTATGGCAGTTCAATGCCAGTTCTACTCTCTATATGTTTCTATGCACTCTGTACACCGTTTTAAGGACTCTTGTGACTCCAGGTGGCTTGCTGGCTCTGGCTTGCATTCATCTACAAGAGTTATAGACCTTTTGCTTTGTATTTGATGTGGTAGCCTGTATCAGTGTCTGCGATGTATTCAGGCAGCTAATGTTAGCTTGCTAGCTATCTGAAGATTTCCATAATCAAAAACAGCAGATTAATTGATAGTGCAGATGTTTTACTCTATCTGAGCTGAAACGGATTATTAAGTTAAAGCATGTGGTACTGACAGTCCATAACTGGATCAGATAACCTGTATTTTAAATATGTGTAACGGTGCCTTGCAGGTAGTTCAAGACTTTTATTATTGTTGGTCAACTTTCTCGCCTTCAATAACACCTCAAATGTGATGCTTCTTAAATAGAATAACCTCATGAATTGTAAATCCTCCCAAGGGTTGAGAAAATGTAATTTACATTATTTAATGTTATACTGCCAAGCCCTAGATCTAGGAGTAACAAAGTTGTTTTTCAACCTTTAAAATAAACATTCAAATATGTAATACAACTAGCATTACAAGCCTGGTGTATTGTATTGCAAGTTTCTTAAATCCCAAATGTAATATTGTAACTTAAGACATATCATTTCCCATCTTGGGAGTTTTATTCTCCCAGACGGTGTCATCATTGTTCTAAATATCTTTGCCTGAAAGGGAAAACTCTCAGTACTTAAAAGATGGTTAAATATTAAAATAATTAATAACGGCCATCTGCAGCTCCAACATCAAAATATCAGTATTGAACTGCAGAA